GACAGCTGCAAAAAAGCTAACATAGTCTTAGGCTGCATTGAACAGAGGGGTAGAATCAAGTTCATGTGAAATCTTAGTTACAAGGCCTTGGGAAGGCCACACCTGGAATACGGCATCCAGTTTTGATCGCCACAATACAAAAAAAGACATTGAGTTTCTACAAAGCGTGCAGAGAAGAGCAACAAAGATGATTAGGGGAGGCTAAAACTGTTGCAGGAATTGGGTATATCTAGTCTAATGAAAAGAAGGGCCAGGGGAGACATGAGAGCAGGCTGCCAATATTTGAGGAGCTGCCACAAAGAAGAGGGGGGTCAATCTATTCTCCAAAGCACCAGAAGATAAGAAGCAACGGGTGGAAACTAATCAAGGAGAGAAGCAACTTGGAACTAAGGAGAAACTTTCTGAGAGTGAGAAAAAATTAACCAGTGGAACGACTTGCTTTCGGAAGTTATGGGCGCTCCAACACTGGAAGTTTTTAAGAAGAGATTGGACAACCATTTGTCTGAAATGGTATAAGGTCTGCTGCTTGAACAGGGAGTTGGACTAGAAGATCTCCAATGTCTGTTCCAGCTCCATTATTCTGCATATAAATCCATTAAACTGCACTATACAAAAAGAAGAAAGGCATTTTAGGAGTCATTTACCAAGCATAGCATATACTGAGAGTAAATTCATACCAGCAATCTTGTATTTTTAGATTTCTGCTGGAAAGCATGCTCGAATTCTTGGAAAATATATTTTAATGGTACATCAAATCTTTCTGTTGCATTGTGAAAAATTATTTTCTTTGAAAACAAGTGTCAGACTAAACAAAGACCTTTCACGTATGTGCAATTGAATGCTATTGCACTTGGTAATTCATGCAAACTTTTCTTTAGCAAGGATTATAATATTCTATAGAACTACCATCTGTTGACGGAGGCCCTTGCTTTGTTTTTAACCATCACAGGTAATCCCCAACTTACAACCATTCATTTAGTGACCACCCAGTTACAATAGCATTGAAAAAATGACTTAACGACCACACTTGGCAACTAACTCATATTTATGTTGGATGCAGTGTCCCAGGATCACATGGTCCCCTTTTGCAACCTTCTGACAAACAAAGTCAATAGAGAAGCCACATTCATTTAAGAATTGCATTGCTAACTTAACAACTGCAGTGATTCACTGAGCAACTGCGGCCAGGAAGGTTGTAGACTGGGGTAAAACTCACTTAACAACTGTCTCAGCAACTGAAATGTTATGCTCAGTTGTGGTTATAAGTTGAGGACTACCTGTATAACTTCCAGAATTTCTAATCCAGATAATCTCCTTTCTGAAAGGCATCTATTCTATGGATACTTGCCTGTAATGCAAATCTAGGATAGGGGAAAAAACTAGTTTCAAGCCTTTTACTTTTAAACAATAAGGTGACTTCTTCAGTTTGAGAAAGCAGAAAGTCTGCACCTTCAGAAAATAGCAAAGAAATTATGCTGAACGTTATTTGACCTGTTGTTGTGGGCCGAACAACAAATGAGAGCACACAGACCTACATATAAGCATTTCATGCAATGTACTATAACACTGACAAGCACCTTCTCATACGGCGTGCCATTATTCTGAAAAATCCTTCATGTTTCTCTTGATATTTACCTAGATAATTCAACATTTTTTTGTGGCAGATGGGTGCATAAGACCGACATTGTTAATGAGGGAGACCCACCTGCTCATCAGCGAAACAGAAACTGGTTCTTAAGGTACAGAAAAACAAAAGGGATATTAAAAAGAAGGCAGATGTCTAGGAAGCCTGGTGCACAATTTCTGAACTGCTGCTTGAACAGAAAAGCCAGCCACGCTTCAGAGAGGAGAGATCAAAAAACTTTCCATTCCATCAATCTATACGTGATTCGACATATATTTTTTCTTTATCTCCCCATTTCCCAACTGTTCATGAATCGTATAAAATAAGATAACTATAGAGCCTTTAGTGCTCCCAAAACTTCCTTGTTTACACTCTTATCAGTTTCCTGATAATGCTACCTAGCTGGGTAATGAAATGTCTACAACTAGAACTGAGCTCAGAGTACCAAGGACACCAAGCTACAGAAGTTCTTTTCTATTAAAAATAAACAGTCCTGGGGTCATGGGGTTGCCATTTGCAAACTTCCCAGGTGGCTTTTAATGCAGGAAGCTGCATTCATTTAAAGACTGCATGATTCATTTAAAAACCGTGGCAAAAAGGTCATAAAATCAAGTGGGACTCACTTAAACAGCTTCCTTGCTTAGCAACAGAAATTCTGGCCACAGCTGTGGTCATTAAATTAAAGACTATCAATACAAGATACAATTGCTGAGTTATCAAGGATAGTTAAAACAATATTAAAATACTGAGTTAAAAAAATAAATAGCTATTGACTGCTACAAAATACTTCTGGAGACTTAGTTTTGGCTACACAAGTTTGATGGTTGATATGTTTATTGTTTCATAGCAATGGCAGCAACGTGGCTAATACTTGATATACATGCCATGATGATTTAAGATACGTTTCCCATATTAGCTTGTATATTAGTGTATTTCCAGTAGAAGTATCCTGTCAGTAAAACATGCAATCTATATTGGTCATAAAAGGGAGCACTAAAATTAAAATGTGTCTGGGGAAGTTAATTATCATTGATTGATATTTGCTATTCTGTAAAGAGCTGTTACATTTTATTACCCATATAACAGACAATGAAAATGATCAGAGCAGCAATAACAATAACAGCATTTCACATATCATTTTAAATCAACAATTAGGTTGCAGCGTTGCATAACCTATAAATGAATGGCCAGTCAGTTTGTCCTTTGCTGACTCCATTCAAAAATATTCCATTTCAGATCAAAAGATTATTCTTTTAGGCTCATTCCAAGATACAAGTCTTCTCGGGCAGCAATTGGCTGACCCTAGTTTTCTTCCTGGCAATTTCTCTTTCATAGGTGTGCCTTTTCCCAAATGTATTTATTTATTTGCAAAATTTATTAGCTGTCCCTCTTACCACACCGCTACCACAAATAAATGCAAGAGAAGGACTCTGAGAATTATAATAAAATAATAAAATAATAATATATAATATATAATAATAAAAATAATAATAATAAAATAACTAATAAACAATTTGGTTTCAGAAAAAAACTATCCTGCAATCTGCAACTCTTACACTGCAGAAACATATGGACTACACAACTCGATCAGGGCAAAGCAATAGATGCAATCTACATAGACTTCTGTAAAGCCTTTGATTCAGTGGTACACAACAAACTACTCCTAAAACTAAAATCTTATGGTATCTCTGGACACCTACATAGCTGAATAGAAGCATTCCTGTCAAACAGGCAACAAATGGTCAAAATTGGGAGCGTCCTATCAAATTCTTTTCCTGTCAACAGTGGTGTCCCCCAAGGCAGTGTTCTAGGACCAACCCTCTTCATACTCTACATAAATGACCTCTGTGATCATATTAAGAGCAACTGTGTTCTCTTCGCTGATGATGTAAAGCTATTCAACACCACAGTCAATACTGCTACCCTTCAAAAAGACCTTGACTATGTATCAGAATGGTCAAACAAATGGCGACTTCAAATCTCAACAAATAAATGCTCTGTCCTACATATTGGCAAAAAAAATCAGAAAATAAAGTACAGGCTGAATAGTCAAGACCTTGTTGATGATCCAAACTCTGTCAAGGACCTTGGAGTACTCATCTCAAATGATCTAAGTGCTAGAGCCCACTGTAACTACATAGCCAAAAAGGCACGAAGAGTTGTTAACCTAATCTTACATAGCTTTTTCGGTAATATTTTTAGTGTAATATTATACTAATAACTAGAGCATAGAAAACATTTGCTAGACCAATACTCGAATACAGCTCATCAGTCTGGAACCCACATTACGTATCTGATATTAACACAGTTGAGAAAGTCCAGAAATATTTCACAAGAAGAGTTCTCCACTCCTCTACTCGTTGCAGAATACCTTATGCCACCAGACTCGAAATTCTAGACCTAGAAAACCTAAAACTACGCCACCTTCAGTCCGATCTAAGTACAGTATATAAAATCATACATTGCAATGTCCTACCTGTCAATGAATACTTCAGCTTCAACCATAACAACACAAGAACAAACAATAGATACAAACTCAAGGTTAATTGCACCAAACTTGATTGCAGGAAATACAACTTCAGCAACAGAGTGGTCAATGTCTAGAATACTCTACCCAACTCTGTGGTTTCTTTCCCAAACCCCAAAAACTTTAACCTTAGACTTTCTACTATTGACCTCACCCTTTTCCTAAGAGGTCTGTAGGGGGCGTGCATAAGCGCACCAATGTGCCTACCGTCCCTGTCCTATTGCTTCTTTTATTTTGCTTATATGTATCCATGTATTCATAACTATGTTTTTACTTATACCTATTATCTTGTAAGCAATTGACAAACCAAATAAATAAATAAATAAAAATAAAGAATTGAGAAGTTTTCTTGGAGTCAAAAGACTCAATGTAGAGAAATCTGGATTGTCTTTTTCATTGAAGATGAAAGGTATGGAAAATGTCATTTGAAACTGTGTAGAACTCAGGTGTCCAAAGGTGGTTGCAATAGTCACAGCTTGTGTCTTTCTCCTAACTGTTCCTTGGTTAGGAGTGCCAGAGAGTCATAACTATAAGTCAGAAGCTGATCAGAAATTAAGACATTTGAGAAAGTTCTAGGATTGTCAACTTGATCCATGCTGAACTGAACAAAAGTAGCTCAGTTTTAGTTCAATGTTAGCCAGGAAATCATACTCTTAGCTTGACTACCAGATTCCCAATAGATCAATTAGAAACACGGTTTGTAACATCTTGCTGTCAAATTGGCCAGAAACCTAATATGGTCAAAAATATATCAAATGTTTTTAATGTTAGATAACTCTTAGATAACTAAGGTAAATAAGATTCCCAGTATATGTTGCACCTTTTAATACTATGCTTAGAAGTCCTTGATTAAACATTGGAAATCTTGTCTTTATCAGGAAAGAGGTGACCATCTCTAAACTTATCACTCATAGAAGATTCTGCCATTTTCAGGCCACAAATGTCCTTGTGGTCTCCATCTTCACCATCTTGCTCTCCTGCAACGCTGTGGTAGGAGGGAGGGATAGACTCCAGTGATGATGTTTGAGACTCTTCCAGATTTCGGATATAAGTTTCATTCATCAAAAGGGCGATGAGACCTTCTTTTTCTGGGGCATCTTCTTCCAGGATGTCACCATCGCAGTTTTTGTGACGGTGTAAGAATGAGGCCTGCTTCATGGAACGTTGAAGCAAATGACTTCGAAAGGCTTTCTGAATGACCCTAGCTGAAGTTTCCTCATACTTGCGTCGGAGGGTGGTGGTGATTGGTTCATGTGAAGCCCTGGATGGGTTAGCAACCATGAACTTCTCCTCCATCTGTTGCTTGAGTATGTCCATCTCTCCGGAGTCCCCCAGAACTCTTTTGGTGAAAGCAAAGAGAATGTCCAAGCAGTGGATTCTGTCTTCACTGACCATGGGAAGGTCCATGGCGATCAACTCAAGTTTGTTTGGCTTGGGGATGCGCAAGGGATCCACTAAAGCGTGTGCAAAGTCAGACAGCTCAGAATATGAAATAAATTGGGTTGCCTTGGGGTCAAACTTCTCCCATACCTCATAAAATATTTCAAAGTCATCGTCCCCTAAAGGCTCACTGCTTTCTTCTGTGGCCACATTGAAGTTCTCCAAAATGATAGCGATGTACATGTTCACAACAATGAGAAAAGATATTATGATGTAAGTCACGAAGAAGATGATCCCCACTGCAGGGTTCCCACAATCCCCTTTAGAAGATGTTGAAGGAACATTGAGCTTTGGGTTACAAAATGGCGGTCCAGTGTTCAAAATGGGGCTGAGGAGCCCATCCCAGCCAGCAGAAGTTGTGATTTGGAAGAGGCAGAGCATGCTGTTCCCGAAAGTCTCAAAGTTAAACATGTCATCAATTCCAGCTTCCCTGACGACGTAGGCGAAGTTGGCCATGCCAAAAATGGCATAAATGAACATCACCAGGAAAAGCAGGAGGCCAATGTTGAAGAGAGCAGGGAGAGACATCATCAGGGCGAAAAGGAGGGTCCGGATTCCTCGGGCGGATCGAATGAGCCGAAGGATTCGTCCAATCCGTACTAAACGGATCACCCGGAAAAGCGTGGGCGAGAAATAGACTACAATCCCAGAAAGCACATTACCTGAAAGGGAGACAAAAGGGATCAGGTCCTTTGCTCAGTGGGTGTTGACTAACATCTATAAAAGAAGGAAGGAAGGAAGGAAGGAAGGAAGGAAGGAAAAGGAAGGAAGGAAAAGGAAGGAAGGAAGGAAGGAAGGAAGGAAGGAAGGAA